ACTTCTTCACAATCTCAAAGTCGTCTCCGAGGAATGCCTGCACGTGCTCCGGATGCGGGATCACCAGCTCCAAGCCTTCTCGCACTTCCAGTCGGCAGGTGTCCTTGGCCTCCACTCTTGCTGAGCCAAGATCGGACCATGTTCCATGCAATATGCGTTTTTGCCACTTTTTACTCTTCCCAGCGGGACGGTACAGCAGCCCACCCTCAGCAGAGTTTTCCTCTTGGTAGACACCAGGCGTGAGCAACAGGGCTTTCTCCGTCCCGACACAGCGAAGTAGCGAATCCGTCAGCTTAAGTGCAACTAGCACCCATAGCACAGGCCCCTCCTGAATGCATTTGTCCACCTCCTGACAAGCGTCAATGAAGGAGACCCCAGCTGACACTCCGCTCTTGTCTTGCAGCTCTATGATGAGGTTCGACTGCTTGATAAACAGGTCGGCACTGTTCGATTTGGGCGCTGGTCTGTACAGTCTGTTGCTGCTTAGCAGTTGCATAGCAGCTGCAAGATTGTTCGGGTGCAAGTTTGTGGGGAGTGGAAGACAGATATTCTCTCGTTCTGTCGTTACCGAGGTGATCTTTGGAAAGGTGGCGAGGGGACATCCCTGGTCCAGGACGACCGCAAGGGTCTCTGCGTGGGTTCCATGGAGCAGCGGCTTCATCATGTCGCCCCAACGCTGCCCTGGGCACATGCAGGCTTGCACAATAATTCGTTGCTCCACCAACTGCTCCAGAACGTCTTCGGCACTGATTCCAGCAGTGTCGCCTCCCAGAAACAGCGGCACACGGCAATCTGAACTNNAGAGATGTAGAAAGCATTTGGCACATTTTTGATTGGTGTTTCTGGCTTGCTGATATAAACATTCAAGCGGCCCAGCAATAGGTCCAGCGAGTGTTCATGAGACCCCACTGGGAGTTTCATCTCACGGTTGCAAGGTACACGGAGCTGGGCCAACAGGATCAAGTACAGCCATGTCTGGCGCCACTCAGCCTCATCTCTGCTTGCCAGAAATACCTCGCTTGCCACTTGCGGCACTTCCCGGGCCAGGATTTGGTAGACTTTTTCCATGATCTTCTCAGTCTTCTCTGCATCCAAGTGTTCAGCGTCTTCGCCTTTTTGGCATTGAAGCAAATGGTGCAGAGCTCGCAAAGTGTAGACCAAGAGTCGCGGACTGCCTCCTGTCCATAGCTGCAAAACCTGTGGCAGCTGCGGTAGCCGGGCCAGGCGAGGCGAGAGCAGAGGCGAAGTGCCTCGCGTCGATGTCTCAATGATGTACTCGATGTGTTTCTCCTGCAAGGCTTCTCTAGACAGAGGATTGAAACTTGGTCAAAACAACTTAGGCCATGCAAACACAGAAAGACAGTGCGTTCCACGAAGAGCAATCGCGGTGAAAGTGGCTTCAGAACCTCGAAACAGGGCTTTGAAACATGTAAAGATTCATCAGCTCCTGCAGCAAATCCAAAATGATCCATTTCGTTCCAACTCCAGAGTCAGGTCCACCAATCGCAGTCAATGGGACACTCTTGCCACTCAAATAGAAATAGACCCGAGGCATTTCGCCTTCATGCTGAAGCATGAGATGCCAAGTCTTCTGCACAGCACCACGCAAATACTTGACATTGTCTCCAAGGGCCCCGACCTCATCGAAATGGACAAACAGTGGAGTCTTGCACTTCGAAGCTTCACGCAAAATCCACTCGGCAATTTTGACAACTTCTGGTCCTTGTTCCATCTGGCCATAAAGATGGTAAACGACGTCGCTCAAAGTTTTGCAAAACCGCAAATCAAAATATTTCTCAGTAGCTTGCTGTGCTTGTGTCAGTTCATGCTGCCAGGAAGGACCCAAACGCTTCCCCGTCCAAAACTTTAAGAACTCTGAATCCTTCAGCTGGTTGATAAAGTTGCGGCCAAGCCTGGTTTTCCCACTGCCAAACATCTGCGCAGCTACCGTCACGCTGCATGGCCGCCAATCATCGATGTTTGCTTTGTTGCGGCGACA